AAGAAAATGATGATGTAGCTCTGTCGTTAACAATGATGCTCTTCCAGGTGTAGGGGGAGTGTTGTGAGAGCACAGAATCATTTGCCTGAATATTTTAACAACTGGATGGTGGAACCTGGCTTTGGAGGTTGGTAAGAGACTGAAGTCAACCTCAAAGGCCAAGGAGGAGATCCTAGATTGGTTATGGAAGGGGCTACAAGGTATTTAGAAGTGAAGGCAGCTAGTTCATGTTAGATGTATTATTAAAAAAAGGAGACAATGGAGGCATGGAAGGAGTGGTCCAAGTGGAAGGCTAAGAAAATGGTATTACAGTGATGATCTAATATCTGTTTTGAATCACCAGCAGCAGGGCAAGAATGTATTTATCAAAGTGAGAGAGATGATGATGAATTAATTTAGATACAAGATAACTAGCTAAAATTAGACATAAAATTTTAGCCATGTGGGTGGATATGAAAACCATTATCTTGGAGGTATAATAAAGACAACATTTAAAAGATACCAGTACAACCAAGTTGTAGGGTCCTGGAGAAAGCCTGAGTCAAAGGTAGCACCCACACTACAAGCCTGAATCATAATCAAACAAGCAGTGTTGTCTCTAGGGGTAGAGAAAGGAAGAATTGCATCATGCAAGATGTGGACCTTCGTGTCTTTAGGAAAGCAAACTGTGGCCTGTGAAAATTTTTGCAACCTCTTAAAGAATATACCTAGCGAGGAAAACAAGTAATGAAGAACTTTTTAACAACACGTGCACTTGGCTTCATAGTGAGTTGTAGAAGTCTGATGTTTTCTTGCTTTTCCAGTGTTGTAGCAAGCAGAGAGGAAAATGATGGTGGGGGCAGCATGGAGTAGAAGGCAAAAGGGACAACAGGTGCTAATCGCAGCTCTGATACTGGGTGACTCTAACCCTGGGCAAGGCACTTTGCTTTGCAATTCCCTGTCAGTAAAGAACGGGAGGTTAATGCTTGTAATGCTTCTCTCATGTGCAATGTAAGGATTAGAAGAGTTGGTGTGTGTCCAGAGCATCCAAGATGTGAGAGCTAAGTGCTCTTACGGAGTCTTTTGTCCTAATACAGCTCCTCTCTGGATTATCACAGCAGGTAGTGTGCATGCTGCCAGCCAGAGGCTGGGTCTTTCCTTTCCTTGAACCTCCTTGCGATGTCTGTCACAGAGCAGGGTTTCCTATGTTTTTACAGTGGGAAGACTGATGCTGTCAATCTTACGTAGGCAGGATTTAAAAAAAAAAAGCTTCATTCACCAGTAAGTTACTTTTCGTTTCCAAATGTCATAGGAGACTAGTTCTGGTTACTGTTCTGGGATTTTTAGAATTCGCTTGCTTGCTTAGAATAAATGGGAAAAGTAGTACTAGAGTGAGATGAGAACCTGTCATATCTGGGAAAAATAAAAGGGAAGGGGAAACTTGGGAAAATACATCTTAGTGGTTTTATCCCCTGCAGGCTATGTGTTATTTACCTTCTCCTAGATCCTCCAAGAGCTGGCATTGGCATGCTTCCAGTCCTATAGCACTTTGCTAAAGTAAAGGATTTTAGACGCTGCTGTGGACTCAGGAGATCTGGATTCTCTTCTGTGCCACGGATTCAGGAAGGATGTAGTGTCTGTATGCCTTATTTTCCCATCCTCTGGAATAATGCTCTTTCTTTCCTTTGCTTTTTCTGTTTGGCTTTTCAGAGCGTGTGTTCGCTTTTTTTATGGAGTCACTCAGCCACTCGCACATGCACAGATAGATGGGTAGATGCAGGTATACAGCATTTAGTGGGGACTGTGTAAGCAGCGCAGTGATGAGTTAGAACTGATGCAACTTGGAAATGTTTATACCCCTCTTGCTGGCCTGTTTGGAAATAACATGTGTACTACTACTGTGCCACGTAATGTGCCAGCAAAACATTGGCTTGCACAGGGATGGAGGCAGGTGCTGAATTATGCCCTTGTTTAACTGAAAATCTCCTAGTTGGGGGCTATCCTAAAAAACGTGCATCGTACTGGAGGGAATAGGGCTGGCAGCTGACCAGCTGCAAATCTGAACTCAGAAATCCTGGCTGCAGCATAACCATGTAGTACTTGTTGAATGATCCCTGCAGCATTTATTTCTTGCACTTGACCACAGGGGAATGTGTTTGTCGTCCTTCTCACTCCTCTCATGTTGGAGGCTTTGTCAGATTGGAACACATTGTGGCTGTGCTTCTCTGTGTGCCTTGACTTGTCATAGGCACAAATCTTTTTCAAATGTTCTCCCCTGTTCATTTCCATTATTATATCTGGTGCTTCTAAGTGGCAAGCAAAAATGAATAACCTTGTAAATGCTCCCTGTCTTTCAATTTGTTTTATTTTTCATACAACGTGTCAGTGCATTTTTGTTGAGTGTTTTTAATAAGGTGAAGTTGATGAAAATAAATTGCTTTGCAGTTCCTGCTGTGGGTGACAGAAATGCTGGGTCTGTAATTTTCCGAAACTGTGCATTTGAAACCAGCATGGAGGGTGTTCTGTACGCCTGTAACTGCAATCATCTCCATAAAATACTTCCCAGAAAAGGAAAGCAGCTAGCAATTTGAATTCTTTGGGGCAAGATGCACTGCTGTATGCAGCTTCTTCTGGGCACAGTGAGAGAGGGAGCTGTCAAGGAGAACTTTAGGATAGATTCTGTGCCAGGCTTGGGTCTGCCATATGGGATAGTTAGCCAGATCTGTCTCTAGTATGAGAGGGAGAATGAATTATATAGCAGACTGCCTTACCAGAGCGTCTGTTAGCCAAGGCTTGCAAAGTGAGGATTGGGACTTGGAAATGTGGACACACCGCTGCCCAGGGCTACTGCATGCCGGCTTTCTTCTGAGCAGTTCAATGTCTTGCTCATAAAATGTAATGCAGATAAATGGTGATCTCCAAATTACCAAGGGGTACTCAGTAGACAGTCTGGTATCTGCCATTCTCTTCTTGGAGGAAAGCTCACCCACATATCCCAAATGTGATTTTCAAGTCAAGATTTTTCTCTTTTTTTACTCATTTTAATGGAAAAAGGGTCAGTATTACCATATTTCTTGTAACCATTTCTATTTTGATACAAATTGCAGAAAATACCATTTTAATTCCCTGAAGTTTATAGTTTCATTTTGTTGTCCACTTTTTTGTGCTTTTGTATTACTTACTTAGCTGGCAAGACAATATTAATGTCCATCTCTTACTGCGTTCTCCTTGGGCTGGCTGGGAGCTGATGCATGGGGGTCACACAGGAGCTGATGATAGACCAGGAGCCCCGGTCCCACTTTTGCAACTTCAAGGCTAATGCCATTATCATTAAGCCAATTTTGCTTTCCTCAGACCAGCTTTTAGTCTTTCTACTGTTCTATCTTTTTGAAACATTGAAAACAGGAATAATTAAGCCCTCATTTATAATTGTCTTCTCCTCTTTCCATTTCAAATTTAGAAATTTCCTCTGAGAATATGCTACTTGAGGTACAGAAAAGTATCCTGGATTAAGTATTTTCATTGTCCACTCACATTTGAAGAGCTGGATTAATACTGGTAATGAAACTAGCTCGTTGTACAGCAAAGCATTGAGAGATGAGGATCATAGAGCGCAGCCTGGTCTGCAGTGCTGTTGGGAGGAGGGGACAGAGAAGTACACTCGGAATTTGGAAAAGTATCTAATTCTTGTTTGCAAGTTTTCTGGTGAGGTCTCTCAAACCAGCTGCCAAAGATTTGAATGACCTGTTCACCCTGGTGCTGTGGCTTTACAGAAACCACCTTTCAGATCACCTGCCTTGCCATGCGACCCTGAAACTTGCTTCAAAGGAGTGGGCAGTAAGGAGGGAGGGCGGGTTTCTGCCTCTCTTACGGAGTTTAAACCAGTTAAAAGAGCCAAAGAACAAAAGGGATTTTTCAGTAAAAATGATAATAATATACATGTCATTTCAGATTCTGAATAAATAATCTCACTGCATAATTCCTTCGTTCTATATTAGAATAGTATGTGCCAGGCAAACAGGCAAGGAGAGAGTAGGACACAGAATCACAACCAAGATGGAAAAAGTCCATGGAGGTTTCAAGCAATCCTTTTGCCAACAGAAGTCTATTGCTTAGTCTATATTATATCTGCTTTATTTTTAAATGGTTCATTTGATGGTGTTCCTGCCACTTCCATGGGGAAACTATTTATTCCCACTATTAGGCAACATTTCCAGAGATTTGTACTAAGTTTTCGTCTGCTTGGCTGCCTTTCATTATCCCTACCTACAACAAGATGGTCCATCCATGACAAGTCCTTTCCTTCCAGAAGTTTTCAGTCTTCTCTTGATGACTGCCAGGAGTGCTATGTGAGGTCTGGGGTTTCCTCTTTTGCTCCCAGGTCCCCGTTGCACTGCATTTATTCACTCGGTGTCACATTTTTCATGTGTGAGTTGCGAGAGAGGGCAGCTACTCCAGCAAATCACTGCTGTTGAGCAGCAAAAGCTGAAGCCCTTACGTGGGCTGTGCACATGTAGTTCTTTTTATCTCTTTTAATAATTTAAATTATTCACCTTTTTTTTTTTTCTAATTCCCTCTAGTTTGTTGATATCTCAGGTGTCCAAGACAGAAGAGTATGTGAGTGCAGCTTTGCCACAGCTGTTCATAAAGAAACAGTTAGCTTGGTTAAGGGACATGAGGCTTCCTAGCACGCAGTCTTACTCTACTGTAGCTTTAAGAACTGCTGTGAAATTTTATGTCTGATTATTCTCTTCTTCCCCTCCTGGTCTTTTGAGTCATTTTTTGCTTCTAGATTATGTCTCACTATTACATTGACCACTGAATCCAACAGCGGCATGTCTGAAGTTTGCAGAACCCCTGTTAAAAATATTAATCACTCCTGATTTTAAGATTCTAATTCTCTTCCACTGTTCTTTCCAGAAGTGTTCTCCTTGCCTGCATGTAAATAGAGATGTTTGTGTGGGTGTGAGGGGGTTGGTATGATAATGTACTTACAAAATGCTGGCTTTGTTATTTTCTAGGTATTTGGTGCTAGAACATGTGTCAGGTGGGGAGCTCTTCGACTATCTTGTAAAAAAGGGAAGACTGACACCAAAAGAAGCCAGGAAGTTCTTCCGACAAATCATCTCTGCTTTAGACTTCTGCCATAGTCATTCAATATGGTGAGTACATATCGGGAGTCACCTCTTGCCTAAAAGCACAGAATAAAGGGATCTTATTTCTTGGTACTTTTACTTACTATTAAGTAACTGATATCATAAAGCTCTAAAAGCACTGTGTCAAGTGCTGACGTATTTTTTAATTCTTGGCTGTCTGTGAGACAGTGTGCCAGTCACAGATAGACTTTTCGTGGAGAAGATTGTCCACCATTTCTCACTCGAGGAGAGTTTGTTCACAGGGAATGCTTTAACCAGGAAAACCAAAGCCACCAACAAAAAGCAGTTTAATTTCCATCATTCTTGGGGCACTTGCTAATAACTGAGAGTTACATACACCATATCAAGATGAAACCCTGAAGAAATTTGGGACAATTACGAATACAGCAAAGTCATTTTATGGCTTCCTTCAGTTTTTGGAAACCTGCTGGCTTCTGGCAACCTTCACTGAGTCCCTTCTGGGCATTTGAGTCACTGTTGCCTTTAATTTCCTTTCCTGTAGGGAAGAATTTCCTTGATCTGACTGATACTCGCTAGTTCCATCATATGATTTAACCATCAAGTGTGGTTTAACCTGTACTTTCAGGTGGTGTTTTAAATTGTACCAGTTTCTCCTTCATCTTCAGCAAGTTTAGGTAATTGAAATTATAGTAAAATCAAGCTGTTACAGTCAGCCTGAGCACAGAGATTCTGTATAGCTGCTGACCCATAACTGCCTGCTTATTTCTCAGAAATGCAGCTCCTCGCAGTTAGATGGGCTGAGGGAGACCATTTAAATTATGTCTGCACGGCTGCTTCTCCATAGCCACAGACAGCCATAGGTCCCCCTCTTCAGGAGGCTGAGGGCCACTGGTAGATACTGCAGTAGCTGGATTTGCATAATCACAGTGTGGTTACTTCTCAGTAACCATACAGTGGTTTTCTGTACCCCCAGTTTTGTGCTGAGAACTTGCAAAGCAGATATCCACAGCAAAAATGGGTCCCTAAATATTTAACTTGCTCTTCTAGCCCTCTCCTTCTACATCTCTGAACCATTGCAACAGGAGATACTAATCTGAAAGAGCACAGAGGTCTAATAAATGGAAAGGGAAAGAAGAGCCTTTCTTGAGTATGTATTAAGAAGAGTATACTGTTAGCAGAAGAGGCAGTTCCAAGGTGGTGACTCTGGGTGAGAAGGTCCTGAGGACAATGCCTACCTGGCACAGGCAGGGTTTCAATAGTCAGAGAAATTCCCAGAGGAGCCGAGAGCAGGTTGTGTGCCCTAACTAGAGGATCTAAGTTTTCTCTGTTGACAGAGACCTCTGACAGTTTTATCTGTGAATTCCAAATTTTTTCCTCCCTGCTAATCAACTGGGTTGAGTGATTATGACCTTATAATCAGCATAATGCTTGGAAGGTTGTACAGCTGTTATTTTTTATGTACACTGGGCAGTGTAACCACTGGGGGATTGCATACATGCATGTTTCTGTTCCCTACTTGGCTTAACACTTAGACACCCAATCCAAAGCAACTCAAAAATGTTTAAGTACAGCTGAAGAGAAATTATTTACTTTTCCAAATGAATATTCCAGAGAAATATGAATCTCCATTTGAATAGAAGCTTCTACAAAGGCATGCATATATACACATACATACTAGTCCTTGGGGTTTGTGATGGATACCTCTTGATATGACAGACTTTAATAGCCTGAGTGAGGGTTGTGGTGAGGCTGTCAGATAGACAGGCACCTTTGCAGGTTTAACGATACGTGGAATTTCCAAGGCAGCGTGCATGTCTCTCTTGAGGAACCCGTTTTCCTCTGTTAAACATATTGGATTGTGGGCAGTAGTCTTGTTTAGAAGTAAATCCCCTGTCTCCTTGCCAACTCCCACTTGACTAGCATCTAGTGCTGAATAAATTAGCAGTAAATCATAAGTTCTCCCTCCCTCCAGGTCACTCTGAGACTCGTGTGGTCTGTGTTGTATTAGACTCTGTGTTGTATTCTGCACAGTTATCATTAAACTCTTTTTGAAAATCAGAGCATGCATAAATATAAGTGTGTGTGTGCATGTTGGTATAAAAGTTAATGTGCTTTCCTAAGCAATGAAGCCTGACCTTGTCCTGTCATGGGGCAGTGAAATGACAAATCATCTCATCAGCCAGGTTATCCAGTTATGACCACATTGAAAAATGAAGGCTTCTGCTTTGGTTAATGACTAAATGTGGGTGCCCCTAACCTGCTGGCAGAACAGATTGATAGCCTGGTGTCCCCAGACCCATATCATTGTCCCATCTTCTTCCTGTACCTCCCAAAACATGGTGAAATATCTGTCGCTTACTTTCACAGCAGTACATAACCACATTCAGCTTTCACTGTTCAAAATGTGTGGATGCACCAGGATTCCCAGATCAAAGAATCAGAAAGGATTCCCCAATCCTCCTGTCAGTAAAAGGCTTCTGCTGCTACTGTGTGGAGAGATCACCTGTGTCTGAGAGGTGTTTTCAAACGAGCAGCCCAGACAAGGAAGCAGAATAGGCGTGGGGCTTGAGCCTGGTTTTGTGCTGTTTTATAAAAGTATGAGCTTTCTGTTCCTATTTGGTTTAAAGGAAACAGTGAGGGGATATTTGATGTACCTCACTCTGAGGTGCCATCACTCACAGTGTTTTGTGGTACAGGTTGGCCATGGGGGAAACCCCCTGTAGGGTTCTCTAGCTTTTCTGTGTAGAGAGCACTGTGCCGTGCTAGGGACCCGCAGGCAACCGTGGGTGCAAGCAGATAGCACCATGCAGAGACACTACGTGGGATCCTGCCAGCAGTGTGTCTGTGTTACCTTGCTGCTTTGCCTGAGCTGGCAAACAGGGCGCTTAGCTCAGTGATGCAGCATTATTACTTCTGCTTCCAGCTCTTCCTCTGTGCTAGCTCCAAGGGCTCTGCACCACGCTGCAGTGCCCGGAGCAGACGTGCTCAGCAGTGGTGCAGGAAATGGCAGAGGAACCTGGGCTGCCTTGGCCATCAGTGTAAGACTGTCCTAGCCTAGTGAGTTTTCTTTGGCCGTAGCTGATGGTTTTTTCCTAAGCTGCCATTCACCTAATGCTGGGTGTCTGCTCTCCTAGATTCAGGGCCTTTAAGATGTCTCAGCTGGATGCCCCAAATCAGTAGTCCCTTTTGAATATCCTGCCTCCACACTGCGGGACAGCTCTCAGCTAACTCAGTGCCAACTGTGTTTTCTGTCGGAAGCAATGTAGGAGCACATACCGGGGTATGTCACAAATCCTTGCTTCCATCAGGAAGGGGCTCTTTTCTCTCGAGCGAGGGAATGCTGCAGCGGCGACGAGGGTGGGAGCCGGGCGAGGAGAGCTGGCGGGTGCCTCATTGGCTGTGGGTGACATCACCGGCAAGGGCTGGGATTGGCGGCTGGCCTGTTTGGTGTGTGGTGGGGTTTTGCTTTGGTCAAGCTCATATTTGGTATCTGTATCTCACAAGCTGACAAATAAAAATATGATTACAGAAAATGCCCCGTGGCAAACCTTATTATGGCTTCAGAGATAACAGATAATGCCAATTACTGCACAGGGCAGTGGTGACATTGAGAGGAAATCCCCTGCGGTAATGAGCAGCAGGATGATTATTTCATTTTATTTTTGTTTTGGTTGGGTTTCATTTTGTGTTGTTTTTTTCCCGAGCATGCACAAGAGGGGTTAAGGCAGGTTCTTTATGAATATTGATAAATGACAATTATGAAGGCCCTTTCTCCTTTCGTTGCCTGGGGCTGTGATTGCTTGAGTACGCACAAGGCTCTTGCTGAAGTGTGTGTGCATGCGTAGGCATGGGGGTGTGTGACTTAGAGGGCTGAGGCGATGAATAAGAGCTTTGTCTGACTTTGCCTTGTGTTCTTCCCATCAGTGCAGGGGGGCGAAAGGCTCCTCATGAAATAACGCTTCAAGATTTCACAGCAGTAGTGCCAAATCTCGGGTATATTCCTGCAGGCGGGAGCTGCAGAGCACTGCCAGTAAAGGAAGCGTGCTTTTAGGGAGGAAACTGGGGTGTCTTTGAGAAACAGAGAAAGCTGGAGAATGCCAGGGCCATGTTCTGTCAGATAGTGCCACCCTCCTTGTGGCTCCTGCTCTGCCTTGCTTCATTTATGAGGAGCATGTTATGGTGTTCCGCAGGGGTGGTCTGTCTGATGCTTAAGACTTTGAAATCATGACTCAAGGCCTCGAAATGTGAAACTGGTCTAGAGATTGTGGAATTTAATAAGATTGGTTTCTGATTCATTTTTTTTTCTGACCATCAGAAGTGAGAAAGGTACCTTTTTCCCCTGTTGAGAGCTGAGATTCACCAATCATTGCCTGAATCCAGGAGTTTCAGATCTGTGATTGAGACTCACTCTAAAACAGTGAGGAATTTTCAGCTTTCCCTCGTACAGGGAACTGGAGAAAACCCATCAAATGCAGCATCTGCAAAGCCAAAGGCAAAGTTACCAGCTCAGCTGAAGTCAGAGAACACGTATTTTTGTAAGTTTACTTCTTTATATAAGCCACTGGAAACTCAAAAATGACACAGTCTTACTGTAAGCGTAACCAGGTAACATTCTCTGGCAAGTACAGCAGTGGTGATCAGACCTGACAGTCTATTCTGGCTTTGAAATACATTAATATATGTTTGGGGGCGAGGTTCATAGGGAGAAGCAATGTATTTTAATAGATGAATGGAAATAATTGTTAGAAAGCAAGCAAGGTTTTATGCATACAAACCCTTCTCCAGGTCTCCTGATACGTTTATAGATGTTGTCCTTTTCCTAGCCATAACTATATTTACTTGTTCTACAGAATTCTGTGAAAACTTACTAAATTTGAGCATAGCAACCATGGCTCTAAACAAAGATTATTCTGTAGGTAGATGCAAGTTACACATTTGGATCTGATTTGCAGAAACAAGAGAAAATGATGAAGAAAGAAAAAGATGAAAAGCTTTTTCTGCTCATGAAAATTGAAATATTGCTACTCATACTATTAATTATTACTGATAAATTATTTGCATCACATCAGGCACTTTTAAGAGGCATGCTGCAGAACAATTATTCTGTGGTCTGGCCCTTCTGGGAGTTTGGGGTCAGTAAGAAAAGCATTTGCAAAGTAGCCAACAATTTGATTAGTACAAACGACCTGCAACTACTCCAATTAGGAGATTTCCTGGGTTAGAAATCTGTGACCTACAACGAGTTGTCATAGAAACCGATATGAACGTTTCAGCTCAAAAATCACTTTAAAATAATGGGTTAGTTCATCATCTCGTGCCAGGTGACATAGCTCCTTTAAATCCAAGATCTGGATTCTGTCCCTACACCAAAAATCTTCTGCCAACCCTGGGTGACAGGGAGAGAGTGTTTTACTTTTCTTTTTTATGTATGCTGCAGTCGTCTGCAATACGGACACGGGGATATTCCCAGAGCAGGAGGATGGACTAGAAAGTCAAGGAAGGGAGCTAGAGGCGCTATCTGAATGGCATCCCTGGGAGTGACCAGAAGGCAAGCGTGGCCAGTATGTGAGTGGGAAGCTGGAACATGGTCACGCATATGCCTTTCATCTGTGCACCACCTCCAAGAACGGTGCCTGTTTCCGTGGGGTGATTGTTTCAGCTGTCTCTCTGTATCCATTTTGTGCTGCAAGGGAATTGTGAAGCCTTTGTTGTAATCTGTAGAAGAGGGGCATTGCGGAGAGTCTGACAGCGTGTGCTTCCCCTGTCATGGCTTGTTTAATGGCTCCCTTTCACTCCCACACTCTCCCTTCAAAACCCTGCTGTCTGCTAACTTCCTGCTCCGTTGTCTTGGTTGAAGAGCTCTGAGTGTCTGTGGCCACCCTGGATCAGGGTTACACTGACTTCTTCTGCAGTGCTGCATTTCTCTTTCATTCTTTCTCAGCATAGGAGAGTTTGCCATGTTTGTCAGTGAAGAAGCTGCTTTCTTCTCTTCTGCTTTTACAGCCATGTGATAAAGCCCCTACAGCTTTAGAGCCTTTAGAACAACAAAAGGGTAACAAGTCCTCTGTTCACCTGCAGAGAGAGGAGTTGATGCGGTCATACAAGACATGGAGAGCCAGAGAGATCAGCTGGAATGGGACCAAATTAAATGCATTTACTCTGCAATGTTCCATTAATGCCAAGTAATTACCACATACAGTGAGATTTTTGTTTTGTTTTGTTTTGTTTCATTTTGGCACAAGAGAATTCTTTACAAATATGAATGCATGAAGCTGTCCAGGCTGCTGGGCTCTTAGGTGAATTATAACAAGCCTTTCCTATTCCCATATGTTCCTCTCCCTTCCTTCTGGCGTTTGAAAAGCTGGCAATACAAAGATGGGAAATGCAAATGCAGAGAGGAAGTCTCATTCCCAGTGGCAGCGATGCTGGTTCTGCCACTCTGGTGCCTGACTTCTATCCCCAGGATGCTGCCTCGGCAAATTCAAAGTGGTCCAAAGATGGATAGCAGAGAAATGTTCCAGCTAGAAGATTTTCATTGGGGCATAAAATTCTCTTGTGATTGAATGTGTAAGCACTGCCTGATCCCACTGGCACCCGGATCTCTGGGAGGAGTGCTGCCACAATGCAAAAAAAATACTCAGGCTGCCATGAAATCCTATGCTGGGCTAGGATCCATACTGTGTCCTAACCATCCATAGTGGATACTAGGGGCTGTGTTGAAAGAGGGGTGGAGAAGGGTCAGAGAGATGCAAAACTGCTGTATGACAGTTCTTGTCCTTTAGGGCCCAGTCAGCAATAAATGTAACGATTCTCGACAGAGTCCACCCTACAGACCACCATCAGCCCATGTAGGCTGATCATTTGTGGAAAAGCTTTGCACAGCACAGTGAGGTGAAGCTTACTGCATCTTTGGAATGTGGATGGTAGCACCCCTTTTTCCTCTCTTTCTTGCAGTGGCTATCAAAAAAAAGGTGAATATATTTGCCACTTTATAGCAACCTTGTTTTCCCACTTGATCATCCCTAAAAACCCAGGCCTAAAACTGTCTGTGTTGTGGATCACAGCTGATGGGAAGACAGGATGAAATAAGGAGGAGAGTCCTTCCCACCAGAGAATACTGTACTTGTTTCCAAAGGTGTCATCCCTTCCCTTTCCCCACCCCTCAGTGGTCTGGGAGTGGGGCTGGTTCACAGTTCATGTACGTTCTGCTCTGGGGTGTGGAAGGGGAGCATTTTTGCATTTCCTTTAGCTGCACCGTTTTCGTTAAATAACGTAAGGTGTTTTGTAGAGGACACACATCCAGGCTGGAGAAACACTTGTGGACATCCTGTGCTTAGGTCATGTTCTGCCTTGATCATTCCTTCAAGTTCTCTTTCTTCTCTCTAAAAAAAGCTACACGATTTTAGCATGAGCACAGCATTTCAACTTTTAGGTGCAAAAGGCCCAGGTCAGCAGTATGCCTGCTATAGACTGAACATGTATGAATGGCAGCAGCCAGCACACAAACAGTGGAACAGGCCTGGGCAGCAGCACCTCAGCTTCTACCCCGTGTACCTGTTCAGTAGTCAGCCAGGAGCAGTGGCTACGACTGAAAACCAACCATAGCCACAGAAAAACCATGCACAGTAGAAGGACATGCACTCAACTTGAGCTGTGGGGAGGTTTCTTGTTCCATAGCCTCAGACAAGCATTGTTTGCTTTACAGGGAGCTGTTACTTGCCACTGAGCCCTAGTCCGCAGGCAGGAGAACTTCAGTGCATCTCCTTGGTCAAATGAGGGCTTCCCAGCACCCTGTCAATGAAACCAGTTATAAGATGAGAACTGTCTGGGACGTCTGCTGGAGGAAAGATTAAATCACATACTACTGTCTCATTAGCATCCTGCTTTCCTAGCTTGCCTTAGGACTGTGGGCTCTTCACTCCATTTCGCTGCTGGGGCTGGAGCATGTTCAGATTTGGCAGATGTTGATGATCTTGCCTTTGTCCAGGACTGCTGTCCTTGATGATGGAGTTCAGAGGTTCTTTTTCTGGCCATTATCTGGTCGTTCACTGCCTGTAGAATGTTTCCTTGTCACTCAACTCCTGATTTTTTGTCAAGTGGGTATGACTATCTTGATAGTTATTATATGGCTCATAATTCGTCTGTCTCCAGTTACCTCAGAACTTTGATTTTTGTGAGATGGATTTGATAAGCACCTTTTGCTTTGTCAGATGAAAATATGCACAAATTTGAATCATGCTGCTCCATTATCTACCGGATTGTTTGCCCATGGTTAACAAGGCCACTTTAACACAGAGGATGCATCATGTTTATACAAGATTTGAGACCAAATTTTATGCTCTTTAAAAAGTGAGGGGGAAGGAATCTTAGGACTCAGTGATAAGTGATCAGTACCTGCTTTGAATGTGAGCTGTTTTGCTGGAAGTCTTCTTTGGAAATATCTGTTATACTCCCCAGGTGTCCTATTACCATGTGCTCTGCTTTTGCATAGCATTGACCTGTATTATTTACAAGTTGTCTCTAACTGATCATTCCAGACTTCTCTTCAGATCAGAGGAGAAAATTTCCAAGACATTGCCCTGCATCTTGTGTTCCTCCAAGAGGGCAGAGACTGTCCCTTCTTTACAGTAGTATAGAGGTAGAATTACACTTGCGTGCACGAGGACTGCTAGAGGAATGTCTTAAAAAGTGAAGAGGAAATGGCAGGAAGATAAGGCGGCCTTTCATTATGGGTGTCACTGGACCAGGCTATCCTAACACTGGTTCTTCTGCTGAGTGCAGTTTCTGGTCAGGGTAACTGGTTTTAGTGAACCATTGTTGCAAATTACTTGTTTGCCTGACACTTGCACATCATTTCCCACAAGTTTGGGTTCTGACTGGCCACCAAAGCTGGCCGTTCTGCCTGCAAGGTATGAGCGCTCGTGTTTGGACCTCTGTTAGCATGACATCAAAGACTCGTTTTGCCTACTCATAAGCAAAAACAAGAAAAGAGCTGCTGCTTTAGTCTGCCTAAAGTGCTTGTCTCATCTCCGTGACTCTTCAAGAGTTGCAAATAAAAAGAAAAAAAGCAAAGTCATCACAAATTTTGTGCAAGATTTTTGTCTTTGGATATAAAATGGAGTAAATGTACAAAAGCGCTTGAGTACTAAGAAGCAGACATGGGTGCACAGTGGTGTTGGCTGTGGGTAATAGAGATTAATAAATTAGTCAATATATTGTACCTTTGATTTAAAGCAGGAGTTTCCATCCTGAAGCTCATGGCTGCCTGTCTGCTCCCGTGTTGCCAAATAATAAGAGAAGCGAGCTTTGATGGAGAGGAGGGAATCCTCTCTCGTCCTTCCCACTGCTGGCACCCTCAGTTATAAGCAGTGCTGGGTTGAAGGGATTTCTCCATTAGAGCTAATTACCCAAAATTACTTCAAAGCCATATGCGTATGTAAACAACTCCTAATAGGGGCTTTTTGCAGTAGCATTTACGCTAAGGATGTTTTTTTCTCTAGATATCACTCATTTTGTTTCCTGTTGTTGACAGAATATATTGGTGATGTTGCCTCCTACCTGAAGGAGCTGGCATGAGATGGAGTAT